TTATATTTACATGGACCTCAATAATTAGACAAATATAAGTATTTTATAGGTAAACTTTTGCTTATGCCTTGTACATTGCTGTGTTTTATCTCCTTTTTTATGGAAGGTCATGACAGCACAAATTTATGAAGACACATCAAATTCTTTCCAGTAGGTCAATTTTAATGGTCATCAGAATTACTCATACTCTCCTTTACTGTTGTGTTTTAAAATCTGATAAATTTTAAAAGTACAGGGGTGCCAGAGTAGCTCAGTCAGTTAAGTGTCCAACTGATTTAGACTCAGGTCATGATCTCACTGTTCATAGGTTCAAGCCCCAATTTGGGCTTTGCACTCAAAACGAGGAGCCTGCTTGGGATTCTCTCCCACTCTATCTCTGCCTCTCCCCTGCTCATCTCTCTCTCTCTCAAAATAAATAAATAAATGAACATTAAAATTTTTTTAAAAAGACATTATATTGAAATTGAGGCTGAATCTTAGAAGGATACAAACACAGTAATTCTAAAAGCATCACTTCTCTCTCCTCTCTTTCCCTTTCTCTGTCTTTCTGGTCTTCTTGTTACTCAAAGGCCCATAATTAGTAAATTCAGAGGCAACAGAGCATGAAAAGAAAGCAAACCACTTTATTTCCATTCTCAATTCCTTGTTTCTATCCTTTTAATCACTTTATTAGTTCTTATTTTCTATTTTTAATAGAAACTTCTAATAATTTTAATTTTTAAAATGGCACCATTATATAGTTGCCCTCGTTTAGTTTGGCATTTAGTAAGAATCTCAACTGATAAGTATCATTATATCTATGTTTAGCTGGTCATTCTGTAGCTAACCCATTGGTTTACTGCTCAATCCTTAGATGAATTTATTAAACTATAAACGTTACCAAATATTGCTTTGAGCCAAGCAGTTTAAAGGCAACTTTGCAGATATTGTTGCTAATCCACAAGATAATATAACAAATGAATGTCATTATCTCTCATTTATACATGAGAAAACCAAGGCTGAAAGGATCTAGGTAATTTTCCAGGGTCACAGTGTGTGTAAAAGAACAGTTTTTAAATCTGGGGCTATTGAACTCTAGTGTCCACCTAATTTAAGCTACTACACAGCTCCAAGTGAGAAAAGCATGTTGTTTCTCCTGGTGCCAGGCCCTATCCTCCTTATCTGTGGATGAAGATGTCATATGGAAGAAAGTGAAAAATTCCCTGCACCAAGATGATCGTCAATATGCTTTATTAGAGAAGAAAACTTTCCTCAATCAAATGTGTAGTAATTTACTCTATAACCCAATTAATCTAAAATACCTTGAAATGTTTGAGAAACCTCTTCTCAAGGAAGATTGTTTTCATTTTTTTTTCCTAAATATGAGCCATGGGGGAGAGATCATAAGGCTGGCCATTGTGCATTCCCAAAGTTTCTAAAACTTACAAAGATGAGGCATAATACTGGAGAAATCCAGCAATTTCTCAAATGATGTTATGATAATGGCCCAAATTGCCCTACTTTGTCATATGTTTTTGGGTAGGCAACTCAATATTAATTTCACTTTGTATGAAATGGAGCAAATCATTTGTGCCTCACAAGATTCTGGAAAGGACTGAATTAGATAATGTATGTAAAAATGCTTTGTGATGTGGGCACCTGGGTGGCTCAGTCAATGAGTCATCCGATTTCAGCTCAATTATGATCCCAGCATTTGGTTCCTAAATTTAAGCCCCACATCAGGCTCTCTGCTGTTAGCACAGAGTCTGCTTCAGAACCTGTCTCCCTCTCTTTCTGCCCCTCCCCCACTCGTGCTTCTCCCTCCCTCTCTCTCTCTCTCAAAAAATAAATAAATATTAGCTGCTCCTGGGTGGCTCAGTCAGTAAAGGGTCTGACTCTTGAATTTGGCTCAGGTCATGATCTCACGGTTTGTGAGTTCAAGCTCCAAGTCAGGCTCTGAACTGATAGTGTGGAACCTGCTTGGGATTCTCTCTTTCCCTCTCTCTTTGTGCCCCCTCCCCCACTTGCTCTCTGTCAAAACTAAATAAGTAAACATAAAAAAAGCTTAAAAAATAAATAAACTCTAAAAACTGCACTGTAATAAAGGACATCTAACTTGGAGATACCATAAGTTCTGAGTCAATGGCTTTAGGAGTAAGAACTAATATATTTTGTTAACCTAATTTTGGGAAAGGTTTATTAAATTGAAGACATGTTTTATAGTTATTAGCACAGAGTACACAGATTCCAGGCTTATAACTTGACTTCTTTTCCTTTAAAATAGGATTTGATTTCCTTTCTGTTGTTAGAATAATCATATTAGTGCATATAAAGGTTTGAATTATATCATTTTCCTTTTAATCTATAGATCAATTGGCCTATGACTGAGTGTAGCCATCACATTAAATATTGTTCTGTTTGAAAAATATACCTAAATATACTTTGAAAATTTATTTTTATCTTAAAAGATCTACAGTAGGATGGTTTTTGTAATGGATATCACCATGCCTAAGAAGTTTGCCCAGCTGCTGGTTTTTATTTTGACTTTGAGTGAAATTGTTCTTAGTGGAAATGTGCTAATTTGGCCAACGGATGGTAGCCATTGGTTAAATATTGAGCTCATTCTAGAAGAGCTGATCCAAAGAAATCACAATGTGACAGTACTGGCTTCATCAGCAACTCTATTCATCAACTCCAATCCTGATTCTCCTGTGAATTTTGAGGTAATATCTGTCTCCTATAACAGAAGAAATATAGACTCCTTAATTGAACAAATGATAATGCTGTGGATAGACCACAGACCAACTCCTCTCACTCTCTGGACTTTCTACAAAGAACTAGGAAAATTTCTAGATACTGTTTTTCGAATAAATATACAAATCTGTGATGGAGTGTTAAACAATGCCAAGCTACTGGCAAGACTTCAGGAAGGTGATTTTAATGTGTTGTTAGCAGATCCAGTAACTATCTGTGGGGACCTGGTTGCTCTGAAATTAGGAATTCCATTTGTGTACACACTGAGGTTCTCTCCAGCCTCAACAGTGGAGAGATACTGTGGGAAAATCCCCGCACCTGCCTCCTATGTTCCTGCAGCTTTGTCAGAGCTCACTGACCAGATGACCTTTGGTGAGAGGGTAAAAAATACTATGTCCTATCTTCTGCAAGACTACATATTTCAATCTTATTGGGGAGAATGGAATTCATACTACAGCAAAGTTCTAGGTAAGTTTCTAAAATATTGTCTTGTTAATGACTCCATATACCTTATTTACCTTGACAGTAATACAGCAGAGGTTTCCATTCCACTGCACATGCCAGGCTGAAGTACAGATACTTATTATGTATATAATACCCTCTACAAGATCATACTTTTTGATGTTTGTAAAAAAAGTCTAATGGTGTTATTAATATGTACATAGTGTTTCAGTGCAAATAATCTCATGCCTATTTAGGGAGTGGCTTTCCAATGAGTAAATCAATCTTCCAATATAAATGAAAGTGTCTTTACTAGGATGAACTGTGGCCCTGCTAAAAAATACCTGGCCAACATTTTGAAGTATAATGATTTACTTTCTCTTCTTCATTCCTCATTCTTTTGTTTGTCTGCAGAAAACATTAAAAGGCCTAGGATTGAAAGGGTGCCTGCGTGGCTCAGTTGCTTGAGTGTCCAACTTCAGCTCAGGTCATGATATCATGGTTTGTGAGTTCAAGCCCCACCTCGGGCTCTATGTTGACAGCTTGGAGCCTGGAGTCTGCTTTGGATTCTGTGTCTCCCTCTCTCTCTGCCCCTACCCTGCTCACACTCTGTCTCTCTCTCAAAAATAATAAACAAACAATAAAGGAAAAAAGGTTCAACCTTGATAAAAGGCCTAGGATTGGGCATTGGAAATCTGAGTTTATACCCTGCCCTTTTCTATCTCTCCATCGTTAGGTTTCTTTGGGTGCTTAGACTAGCACAGCTCCAACTTAATTTCCCTATATCTTTTGGCAATCCTCAGGTGTGTTGCCTCACAGATTCTTTAGGAGGATCAAATAAAATAATACGAACAAGGCCAGCTCTGGTTGGTTGTTTAATTTCTGATCTCTCATGAACTTTCTTTCATTTTTCCATTTTCTTCCCTCCTGAATGGTTTTTTTTTCTCTAGATTTATCAGTAGCACCAGGAGTAAAGTAGAAAGTAACAGCAGAAATTATCAGAAAGTATCAATGCTACTTTTTCACAAAGATAATATGCAAAATATCACCCTTTTACATACCTTTCAGGCTTATTCCCTCCCACTCTTTATTTTCCTTTCTTTCTCCTTCCTCTCTTCTCTCTCTCCCTCCCCTCCTTCCTTCCTTCTATCATGCTTCCATTGTGTAAAAAATAGTATTTCTTGAACACCAACCCAGTACCTGTCACTTTTCTAGATGCAGTTGACAAAATAGTCAAAATCTCTTCCTCCAGGAAGCTTACATTCTAGTAAAAGGATACAGACAATAAATGAATAAAATATAAGATGTTAGGCATATGCCAATAAGAACAAATAGTTCTGGGAGGTGAGTTACACTTTTAAATACAATGGCCAGGGAAGGTCTCAAAGGGTGACATTCGAATGAAAACTTGAGGACAGTGAGGGTGAGAGCCATTGGGATCCCTGGGGGGAAAGCATTTTATTAAATTTTTAAAAAATTTTTTGAGTTTATTTATTTATTTTGAGAAAGAAAGCATGTGTGTGAGTGGGGGAGGGGCAGAGGGAGAAAGAGAGAGAGAGACAGCATTAGTGGGGGAGGGGTAGAAAGAGACAGAATCACAAGCAGGCTCCATGCTGTCAGCATAGAGCCCTACATGAGGCCTGACTTCAGGAACCATGAAAGCATGACCTGAGTCCAGATCAAGAGTCAGGCGCTTAACCCGCTGAGCCATCCATGCACACGTGAGGAAAAATATTTTAGACATCGATAAGAACAAGTGGATGGAAAGATCTATGGTAAGTCATAAAACCAGGAATACCCTTACTGTAACTTGATCTTAATCTTACCTTTCACAGATTTTGTATATATTTTTTTCTTTCCTGGGTTTTAGAATATTCATCCAATTTTCCATCACTTAAACTTCTAAATTTCTTCGTAGAATCAGTCTAGAGAGAAAATATTGAACGCATCACACATATAAATAAAACATATGCAAGATAATTAAAATTTGCATATACTTTTGAAGATAGGGTAATTCGAATTTTGAAAGTAAAATGTTGTGTTTTATATTTATTATAATATCATTTCACTATATTTTCCTTTTCCTGGACTCCAAATTTCTTACGACTTAAAGATATATTTCGATTTAAATGTAGATGTTATTCATAGGATTATTTCCCAAGACATTTTAAATGCATTCTATAATAATTACCCCTGCCCTTATATGTATCACATACCAACTATTTCAGGTATTGGTGTCAGATAGCAGACTATATTCCTTAAAAAGGGGGACTACAAAAAGTAACATGGTGACAGTTCCTGTAAGGCACATAAGGCTCTGGATTCAAGTTCCATTTGTTAATTTCAGGCAAGTGAGTTGAACTCTGAGCCACAACATTTCTGTCTCTTTAAAAGAGGGTAATTACTTCACTGTACTCTTTAGGATGGCCATTAGACACCATATATATGGATATGTTATGTCAATTATAAAGAATTATACTTACGTTAAATATTGTCTATACCAAACAACACAAGAACTCTGCAATGACCAAACCCTAATTTTACTACCATGGGGCTCTGTGCTTGCAAAGTAGTTGTGTGTGTGTGTGTGTGTGTGTGTGTGTGTGTGTATCTATGTATCTATATGCATATAGATATGTATAGATATAGAGAGAGAGTATACTCCAGAGGCCATTTATTCTTTGTGTGTGTGTGTGTGTGTGTGTGTGTGTGTATAGATATATATATAGAGAGATACACACACACACACACACACACACAAAGAATAAATGGCCTTTGGAGTATACTGTCTCTATATATCTATATGCATATAGATATATAGATACACACACACACACAAAGAATAAATGGCCTCTGGAGTATACTAAATCTTCCTTTTCAAAGGGAACCATGACAAATTATATAATGTGTGGAAAAGCCTTTGTAAAACAGAATGTTCTCGACTTCTCATCTTCACAGGATAATGATCTAGTTTCAGAACTCCCACATTCTGAGAAATTAAATATTTTATTTATCGAAATCCTTTATACTTCTCATGTTACTAAATATACTTGATCAACAAATAACTATCTTGGAGGCTTGATTTCAAACTGAAGTATCCGGAGGAGTGGTATAATCCAATTTGTCTTTTGTTTGCAATTACATTCTTAAAGTATTCAAGACACCTGGTAACTGTAAACTGATACTACAATAAGGAAGGTGCCTTACATTTCATATTATCATCAAACATAGAAGAACACAGGAAACCTAATAACATCAAATTTCTATGGCATTTCCATTTCGGTGACTATTCTTTAGTTCTCTGGAAAAAGCAGATTAGAAAAAAAGCATATTTAACCATGGTAAAGAATATACCCAAATATCTATATTGAAGGAAACAAGTAAGTAACAAGGAAATATCTAACTACACTGGTTAAAAATCCTGTTTTGTTTATCAGTGTGATGTTAAATTTTATAGATGAAGCAAATAAAAATCATCATCAATTCAATTTTAAATATGCTTCTAATACCTAATGGAGCAGGCATATCTGGGAAAATGACAATCATTGCGATTCATATACAGGAGTGAATCAATAATAAATCTTGGTCAAGCCAAGTGTTCTGTAGGGCACCTTCAAATTGCACTGAGCTTCATCTCTCCCCAGCCTCTGAGAAATCTGCTGTATAGCATGTAGATTGTTCTAATGTGGACAGGATTGGGGACTGGCCTTTGCCTACAGCTCTAGGAAGGATCAGGGCTGAATGCTATAGTAGAACTAAACAGGTACAGCAACTGCATGTCCCCATTTTGTCTGTATCTTTTGGTTTCCCAGTTGGTTTCCATCTTTCCAAGCACAGTACAGGTCAAGAGAGCGGAAGCCCAGTACTACTCTATGCGCCATTTAACCAATGTAGCCTATTTTACATACCAGTACCATATTGGTTCCACTTGGTCCTTCTCTCTCCCTACTGCTAAACTTTACATGGATTCCCTAGAACTAGCGCTGCCTTGTCCCAGCCCATGAAGGGAAAAAAAAATATGTAAAGCTTTTTAACATTTCTTCTCTACTTTGCTTACCTGGAACTGGGCTAGATTAATCACATTTTTTAATGTTTGATTTCTATCTCCCTTTCTGGACTCAGGATTTTGTTTCTTTCTTAGCTTTTTGTTCCTTTTTTTTTTTTTTTTTTTTTTGCCCATTCTAGTCCCTATTACCAACCTCCCATCCTTTTCCTAGAAAACTTGGATCTATCTCTCTGTTAATCTTCCCTCACATAAAGCTTCTAATTCCTTCTCACATGCAGCTTCCCTGGGGTCAGTACTGTAAAGTTTTTTAAATTCTGTGTGGGGTGCCTGGGTGGCTCAGTTGGCTAAGAGTCTGACTTCACTCAGGTCACGATCTCACGGGCTGCTTGACAGCCCAGAGCCTGGAGCCTGCTTCTGATTCTGTGTCTTCCTCTCTCTCTCTTTCTCTCCTGCTCTCTCTCTCGGAAATAAACATTAAAAATTTTTTTTTTTAATTCTGTGTAACCTATATTTTGAAGTTAAAGCATAGATCATAATTTTACAGCTTACTGAAATTTCACAGTGTGAACTACCTACGCAACAGCACCCAAATCAAGAAACAAAGCAAGGTTTTGAGCCCTGCATCAGGTTCTGTGCTGACAGCTGAGAGCCTGGAGCCTGTTTCAGTTCCTTGTCTCCCTCTCTCTCTGCCTCTCCCTCACTCATGCTCTGTCTTTCTCTGTCTCAAAAATAAATAAACTATAAATTTTTTTAAAAAAGAAACAAAGCAATATATCCATAACTCCTCTTCCTTCCTGATCAGTCCCTACAACTCCTGTGTAAAGGTAACCACTTTCTTGACTTCTAACACTGTAGAATTTTGCCTGATTTTAAACTTTGTATAATGAACCACACATTGTGTACTCTTTTGTATTTTGCTTCATTTCTGGTGGTTTTTATATTCACCCAAGTTGTTGCATATAGGAATAGTTTGTTCATTCTCAAAGTTATATAGATTCTATGAAATTAATATACCATATTTTATTTAGCCACTTTGCTGTTGATAAAAATGTAGACTATCCTGGTTTTGGCTATTTATGATAAACGCTGCTATGAACATTCTTGTACATGTCTTTTGATGAATATGCGTGTGCCATACCTGAGTGGAATTGCTAGGTTATAAGGTGTGCCTGTGTTTAGCTTTAGTACATACTGCTAAAATCTAGTTTCTCAAGTGGCTGTGCCAATGAATAACTGCATCAGCCATGTAGTAGAATTCCAGTTGTTCTCCATTCTTATAAACACTTAGTGTTTTCATTTTGCTTTTTTAAAGTCTATTTATTTATTTTTGAGAGAGAGAGACAGAGTGCAAGCAGGGGAGAGGCAGAGAGAGAGAGGGAGACATAGAATCTGAGGCAGGCTCCAGGCTCCAAGCTGTCCACACAGAGCCTGATGCAGGGCTCAAACTCAATGAGATCATAGCCTGAGTGGAAGTCTGACACTTAACCACCTGAGCCACCCAGGAGCCCCTATTTTTGTTTCTTTTTAAAAAATTATAACAATGCTGTTGATAGGTAATGTTATTTTATTTTTTAAAAGAAGTTAGGCATTAATTTGTGCATGGTAAAAGGAAGTGCATAAAGTATACAGTGTGACTTGTTTTGTCAAATGTTTACATCTCTGTAAGCAGCACATCAATTGATATAAGGGTATACCTTTCTAAAAAAGCTGTTCTCCAGACCTTTCAAAGTGAGTAACCTTGACTACTTAATTTTTCATTTTTCATCTTGATTCATTCCTATTTTCCTTTTATGGACTTTTAAATGCATTTTCTAATAATTTTAATTCTAAGATGATTACATTGTCTCACGTTCAGTTTGTGCTCCATCAAGCATCTCTGGTCTAGTTCTATTCAATGATTCTGTATCTAATGCCCTTGAATTGTGCCATCTTTGCTATTAACTTATTATATAACTACTCTTACTAAACACCTACCAAGTACGTTGATAAGTACAATGAAAAGATTATTGCTAACCCACACATAAGGTAAGAATGATCGTTATCTTTTACATTAGAGCCATCAAAATTCAGAAAGATTAAGTAACTTCACTGAAGTCACAAAACATAACTGAACCAGGTAAGATCCTATGTATATTTAAACTATTACATAAAGAAATTTACATTCCCAGAAATAAACCACTCCACAATTTCCAGGATTTTTAAAAAAATGTTTATTTATTTTGAGAGAAAGAGAGAGAGAGAGAGAGAGAGAGCAAGTGAGCAGGGGAGGGCAAAGAGAGAAAGAATCCCAAGCAAAGTATGCATTCAGTGCAGGGCCCAACGTGGGGTTGGTGAGATCGCGACCCAAGCAGAAACCAAGAGTCAGACGTTTAACCGACCAAGCTACCCAGGCTCCCCTCACACCTTCCAGGATTTTAATTTTAGAACTCATAGAAAGGAAAGAGAAAGACACAAGCCTACTCAACTCCTACCCTTTGCTTGGTGATCTGGTGTTTCCTATTAGCATTCTCTCACCAAACTCTCCTGAGGGCACTACTGTGACATTATTTCAACTTAACAGATTTTATATTATTTTGCAAGTTAAAAACCTTTGAATATCTTGGTGCAAACTGTCTGCATTGAAACAGAGAAGAGAGATTCCAGAACTTTGCCCTGTGTCATTAGTGAATGACATGCAAGTCCTGGGTACCACTGGCCTCTTATGTTGTTGTTATAGGAATTTTGAAATCATCTTGCCTAGCTCCTGAGAAGGAAAAGAAGTCTTGGTATTTTCACAGACATACAGTTAAATGCAAATATTTGGTTTAAACTGACATTTTTGTTGTTGCCATTTCAAGAACATATTATTATTATTTAATTTTAAGAATCATCTTTGTGATGGCCAACAGACACATGAAATGATGCTCAGCATCCCTCCTC